ATTTTTATACAAATTACATATTTAAAATGTCATAATTGAAAATCTGTACATCAGATTTATTCATAAAATCTACCGTTGGATTTGTATCTTTGAGACCTATCCATAAAAGTCAATCTTAACAAAAATCATTGACTCTAAAAATTCCTTCATTTTTGGTCAAACATATAAATAATGCTTTGTTGAGTCAAAATATGGTTTAATTGAATTTTATTCAAAAAAGGTCTCACATTTAATTCATATTATCTATTTCCATGATTTATTTCAATAAATCATTTCAAAGTTCACAATTTCTTCATTTATTCTTAATTTGGGTCTGTACTCAGGTTCCCAATCAAGATCATACAATAAGTCAATTTATTGGATTTATCTCTATAAGATTTATCCTGATTGTGATATTGAATATATAAACATATTTCATTTTGGCTCAAAGCCCAACAAACATTTATAAAAAAAATTTTGATTAATTGATTATTTATTTATTAATAATTCTAGGGTATATTTTGGGGCGTTACAGAACGAGACCGAAGAGGTTGTTTCCTTAGTTGGGTAGTGTTTTAGGTCTTAGATTATGTGTTAAAGAGTATGGCATCTCTAAGGTTCATTCCCTTATCATCCTCCTTTAAAACACATTTTAGATCAGCCTTTGTGTGGGGAAGTTGCCTTTCTATTCGAATAATCTTTTGTTTATTCGAATAAATCGTGATCTTTCTTGTGACTGAAATTAACCTGTTTTATTCGAATAAACCACCACTTATTCGAATAAGTCCTGGTTTTTCAACCTGATTTATTCGAATAAATCACCATTTATTCGAATAGGAATTGGTTTTTTCTAGCAACACGATTGATCAAAACTATTCGAATAGTTCTTGTTAAATATTTACATATTTAATATTGTATATTTATGCTAGTTGTCTTGTATAGGATCTCTACATTAAATACTTACCTTATTCATGTAGCCCTCCATCTATATATATACGGGAGGTGGAACACTTGTAGATCATTGAGATTTAATATTACGTATTTCTTCATGGTATCAGAGCAATAACAAAAAAAACCCTAGCTTCCTGCGGCTGCCCTTCCCCTCTCTCTGCCAGACTCTGCCTACCTTCCCCAGCCGCCACCTTCACGGCTGTGGTAGCCCTCCCTCACCGGCTCTCTCTCCTCTTTCCCTCATCATGTCGGCTGACAAAACTCCGTCTTCCTCCACCTCTGTCACGACGAATCCCCCCCACCTTGCTTTTACTACCGTCTCAAACGTCAAACTTCAAGTTCCCGTTCTCTTGAGTTTTTCTGAACCCAATTACAAAAAATGGAGCCGTCTCTTCCTCTTACTAGTTCGACGATCCAATCTCGAAGGGTTTCTCACCGGCACAACCGTTCCCTCTAGCAAAGATGACGTTGAATGGATTCAACTCGATGCCCTAAATCAAGGTTGGATTTTGTCCACTATTACGGACGAAGTCTCGGATCTCATCATCTCCTCCACCACCTCCTCGGCCGATCTTTGGAAGGCCATCCATCAACTATTTCACGACAATAAAGCCGCTCGAGCCATGCAACTTGAACACAAGTTCTTTAGCACCACCAAAGGCTCGGCCTCTATCACCGCATATTGTCAGAATCTCCGCAATATCGCAGACTGGCTCGATGACGTTGATGCCCCAGTTACCGAAAATCAGTTGGTTCTTCAAGTACTCCGTGGCCTCCCGGAAGATCTCAGTGCTCGGGCCTCTTTCTTGCAGTTCCAAAAGCCTCCCCCCACCTTCTTAGAGACACGTTCGGCACTCCTCCTCCTCGAGCAGCAGCGGCAGACCACCGGAGACCTCACCGACCACTCCACGGCCTTGGCAGCCATTGGCCATCGTGGTGGTGGGCCGCGCGCAGGGCAACCATACCAGCATGGTGGCGGCGTCTCTCCCCACGGCAATGGACAGGGTGGCAGCAGCGGCGGACGTGAGGGGCACTTCAGCGGCGGCGGCGGTTATCGGGGCGGAAGGACCAATCGTGGTCGTGGTCGTGGTCGCGGCCGGAATAGTGGCGTGAACTATCGGCTTCCCTACAGCAGCTTCGGCTCTTGGCAGATCCCCACTTATTCTATCGGGCCGGGTCTTTTAGGCCCGCGCCCAAACCCTGGCCCACACCCAC